CTTTCTTTCTTTCTTTCTTTCTTTCTTTCTTTCTTTCTTTCTTTCTTTCTTTCTTTCTTTCTTTTCTCCAAACAGGGTTTCTCTGTAGCTTGAAGCCTGTCCTAGAACTCGAGCTGTAGAACAGGCTGGCTTCAAACTCACAGAGATCTGCCTGTCTGGGATTAAAGGCATGTGCTACCACCGACCAGCCCAGCTCAGATTTCTTTTTAAAACATTTCAAAATTACATTTATTTATGTACTTGTGTGTGTGGTGTGTATGTATGTGTGTGGGGGTGTGCATGCACTTGCCATTTTGTGTGTGTGGAAGTCAAAGGACAATTTGAGAGGTCAGTTCTATCCTTCCATCATGTCAGTTCAGGAAATCATGCCCAGGTTGTCAGGGTTGGTGGGCAGTGTCTTGGCTGGTCCCCTCTCTCATATTGGCAAATGAATGAAGTTCCTCCCTGCTTTCCCAAACAGGGATAATAGACACTGGGCTCTCCCTCTCTAGCAGCTCTGTTCAGCCACCTTTCCCTGTGTTACTGGGGAGATAGGGCTTCCTGCCTACCAGTTCTTAGTCTAGAAATGAACTCAGAAGGAACTTGAGGATTATTTTGTGAGCATCTGAGAGAATAGCAAGAGGGTGGGCAAGGCGTAAATGCTAGAAGCTTCCAGGAGAAGGGAGGAGGAGAAAAAGCCATACTATGCAAATAAGGGCCTGTTCAGCAGTGAGAGAGCAGTCACAAGGTGGATAAGCAGTGCCTGATGGGAAAGAGGTTGGGGAAGAGTGTTCCAGAATGAGTGAGAAAAAGCACACCCAGGCCCTGGCCATTATCCAAAAGAAAGAGATAGAAAAGAAGGAAAAATAAAAGTTACCCTTTCCTAAATAACCCTAAAAAGTTGGCTGGCTCCGCGGTGCTAGAGGGTGGAAACTCTGTGACAGTTTGCACTAAGGTAGGGGTTTCTGGGAGGGGCAAATACATAATCCCATTAAGGGGATAATTAGTCTCTTAGGTATCTTCAGGTGAATCAGATTTCCTGGGGTGGGGCTGGGTGGACTCCTACCAGGTGATTGAAAAGCCCAGCTAGATTGACTCCCAAGGGAGAACACCCGATAGTAT